TAATGTAATCTGTACACTCCCCCCCCCCAAATCATCAGTAAGGTCTACTGTGCTCAAAAATATGTTGGGAGGAGAGACTATTTTGTGGGATTGGAAGAAGAATCTGAGTCTCTCCTCTGAGATGTGGTGTGACCAGCTGTGAGAAGTGAGAGCTTAGAGGCTGTGATGGAACAGGTAATCCTTCCTGGCTGATTGGGCTGGGTAGGTGAGCCCCTGGGTTTTGGCCTGAAGAGCGCTTTGATTCCTGGAATACTTCTGTATGATCTGGGACTCCCACAGCTGGGGCCCCTCTGCACCCAGCACATTTGTGTCCTAACATGCATGTTCATGACCTGCTTCCCTCAGGCCCCAGAAGAGCTTCTGAGGGCAATGGACATGTCTGTGCCATTCCTGGTTACCCGAGGTATCCACTTTCTCCATAGAAGCTGCATAGGAAATGTGGAACTAATAAGTGAGCATCCCCAATTGCTTAAATATTTACTCTCCATTCTCTTAGGTTCCTGGCCAGGATGGTGCATTGAGGTGCTAGGGGAGGTTCCCTTTCCATGAACAAATACATAGAAGTACTGGATAAAATATAACCATTTAAAAGAATACAGAGCCAAGGGGTGCCTGGGTGGCTCAGTTGGTTAAGCATCTGCCTTGGGGCGCCTGGGTGGCTCAGTTGTTAAGCATCTGCCTTCGGCTCAGGTCATGATCCCGGGGTCCTGGGATCGAGCCCCAGATCGGGCTCCCTACTCGGCGGGAAGCCTGCTTCTCCCTCTCTCACTCCCCCTGCTTGTGTTCCCTCTCTCGCTGTGTCTCTCTCTGTCAAATAAATAAAATAAAATCTTTAAAAAAAGCATCTGCCTTCGGCTCAGGTCATGATCCCAGGGGTTCCAGGATCCAGCCCCGTGTTGGGCTCCCTGCTCAGTGGGGAGGCTGCTTCTCCCTCTCCCGCTCCCCCTCTTACTCTCTCTTACTTTCTTGCTCTCTCCTCTTACTCTCTTGCTTTCTCTCTCTCAAATAAATAAATAAAATCTTAAAAAAAAAAAAAGAATGCAGAGGCAAGGTCAAGAACAAGGAGAGATCAGATCTCCAGCTTGCATGGGATGCAGAAGATGGACCTGAAATGCCCACAGAGGGGTCAGGACTGGGGTTCTAATGCCCAATGGGGATAGCTACTGAAGACCTCGCCTGGTGAGTTCATACAAGGAGGCTCCTGCATGAAGCTAGGGGCCCTCCAGGGGTTGTCTCATCCAGGAGCAAAGGTGAGAAGAACCCTACTTACTGGCCTTGGGATGGTGTCCCCAGATATGGAGCTCAATTTCTCCCGACCTGTGTAGTTATGAAACTTCAAGCCAAGAAATGAAATTAGAAACTGGCCCAGAATCAGGCCCTGGTGGGACAGCTCTGGACGGAACTCCACAACCTTGGTGATGGGTGGATTCTCCAGGATCATGGCTTCTGCCAAAGAGGGGCTCACTGTCAACTATCACAATAGCACACCGAGAACTTGTCATTATCACAGCAAGAGCAGAGATGAAACACCAGGGAAAGCTCAGATGTTGTGGCAATCCCAAAGAGACTGGAAAAGAAGGATGTTTAAACGAGAAAGAGATGAAGGACTGGAGAGAACCCACAACACAAGGACTGAGCAGGATGGGAACTAATGTGCAGTTTTGAAAAAGAAATACATGGAAGTCCGGATGGATACATGGATGTCATTTTAGGGCAACAGCAGAGAAGAGGAAAGGACATTTATTCAGAGTTGGGAGACTCACCAGGTGCTGAAACAGCCAAGTGTTGGTTAGGAGACCACCCCCATGGCTCTATTTCCTCATTTGAAAAAAGGTGGCATAATACCAGCCTCCAAGCGTTATGAGAAGATCAGAGCGGGTCATTTTCTGTGACAGCCCTGGAAAAGTGTGAGTCGGGTCATGCATGCTAACCAAATGGCTTCAAGGTGTCATTCCCAGGAGGGATTTCAGTCATTGCACTGTTTTTCCCCCAGAGATACATCTGCAGAACACCTGGAGGCACTCGAGAGTGACGTCACTTAAGAGGGGTGCTGGGGCTCTAGTCTTTGGGGTATGGTGCTCCTTCCATCCCCCAGCACCTCTACACTGCAGGCCCAATGGGTCTGGCCACGGAGGGAGGAGGTTCAGCTTAACAAGCAGGGGACATCTGAGTTCCAGCCCCCCTGCAGGCTATGAAAGGTCCTGCAGGTGTTTGGGGCGGGGCAGGGGGGTGGGGGGAGTCCAGGAGGACTTGTGCACGTTGCCAGGCTGGCCTGGGGTATGTGGCTTTGGGCTGTTCGGGCTGGGGTTTGGATCCTAGCTTGTCACTTGCTGTGCCACACCAGCAAGATGCTTCCTCTCTGGCCTTGGTTTTCTCATCTGTGAAGTGTAGATGATAATTAATACCTTTCTCTTAGGCCAGTTGAGGGGCTCATTTGAGCGAATGTGGGGAAAGTGTCCAGCATCACGCCTGGTACACAGGTGATGCTCAATGCATGTCCTTGGCTGTTCTATGCCCTCCCCTTTCCTTTCCTCAAAGAAGGAGAGCTTTGGGGCAAGTCAGCCCACAGACTCTGCCCATAGAAAGCAGGCAGAGGAGAGGTCTGCCTCCTGGGGCTGGGCATGGGTTAGGGGGCATGTTTGTATAGGGACAGGAAAACAAGCAGCAGAGCCATCTCCTAATCACCATGACCTCCACACCATGTCACTCATTCTCTGGCCCTCAGTTTTCTCATTCACTCGACATCTCCTTGGAGACTGCAATAACTGCTCCTCTTCTTCCTCACCAAGAGAACCCAATTGTGTTTGGGGCATCAATATGGCCAGATCCTCCTGCAGATAGGAGTAGCCATGTGACACGGTTCTGGCCCAGGAGATGGAGGTGCAGATTCTGATGGGGTGTAGGGGTATCTCTCCCTGAACACAAAGGCAAAGCTCACTTGAAGAAAATCTTCCCCACCCTCAACCTTGCCCGTCCTCCTCATGCCTGAACAGCAGACATGAGGCCTGCGGGTATGGCAGCCGTCTTGTAACTGTGCGTCAACAACAAAGGCTAAGGTGGAAAAAAAGAAAGAACACAGGCTGTGGGGGCAGGCCGACCTTACTTTTCCACTTCCTGGCTGTGTGGCCTCGGGTGTGTTACTTCGCTTCTCAGAGCCTCACTTCCCACCGTCTGTAAAATGGGGATAACACCTCTACCTTGCACAGTTCTTGTGAGGATTAAATGGTGCCATGGATACAAATCCACCTTTTCTACTGTAAAGGGCTATCCAGATGTTCGTAGTGGCTCTTACATCATGCTATAGAGGACAGTTACTTTAGGGTAAAACAAAGAAGAGACCCTTTATTTCTCCTCTTGGAGAAGGTTCCAAGGCTGGACACGGGCTCCAAGCCAGCCAGCCCAGCTCTTGAGCCGATCAGCTATGCAAACAGGAAGTGGCTATCCAAACATTTGGAGCCGCAGGAGGCTGGCCCAGAATGGGCCTCTTCATGGAGGCCTCTCTCCACATTGTGCCTTCTCATCTCCCAGCTGTGAGCACCTCCAAAGTCAAGGAGGAGGTCCCTCCTCTAAGGGGCTAGGTTCAAAGCCTCCCCTTCTGGTTGCCCTGCCCACCAGCCTGGGCCAGGCCACCTTCCTTTCCAGCTGGAGGATGGCAACAGCCCCTCTGTGAGCTCCCCACTGTCTCTTGCTCTTCCCTCTCCTCCCACCTCTTTGTCACAACTGTAGCCAGGGTAATTTTTTTTGAAATGCAAATCAGTTCTTGTCACCCTCTTGCTGAAAACTTCCGTGTTCTCTTTGAGGGAAAGATTGAAGTTCCTGACACAACCGTCCAGGCCCTGGATGGCCCGGCCTCTGCCTGTCTCTCCAGTTTTCCTCCTCCAGCCAGCCCGGCCTCCTTTTAGTTTCTGGAACGTGCCAAGGTCCCTGCTGTCTCAGGGCTTTGTCTGTAGTGTTCCCATTTTCTCGAACACTCACCTTCTCCCCTCCTCCTCTCCCTGGCCCATCTTGCCACATAACATTCTATTCTCAGCTCAAGTGTCACCTCAGGGGCTGGCTGAGGCTGCAGCAAGCATGACGAAGGTCCTGCTCTGCCCCCATAGCTTTCATCCAGCCTGTTGCCATTCATCTAGTCACATGCTGGTCTTACACGCTCACTAGGGGCTACTCAGGGCAGGGATTTCGGGTTGCCGTGTTCCCAGTCACATCCCTGCTACCTGGCATGGCCTCTGTATGGAGCCGGTCGGTGCCCAGTAAATGTGGAAGTCAGGCAGGCAGGCGTGCTTTGTGATTCAAAACGGAGATGGAGCTGTTTACTGAGCACCTACTGTGTGCCAGGTGGGACCTCGCGGCCTCTTCACAGCTGTCCTGGCAGGCAGGGACTAGAGTCCCTGTGTTCTACCAAAAGGGGAAACAGAAGCTCCAAGAGGGGCAGTGACTTGCCCAAGGTCACACATCTGGCAGAGGCCCTGCTAAGATTTGACACTCCGTCCCACGCCCAGCTTCCTGCCTGGTGGAGCTAGCCCCAGGGATCATTGCACATCTGCTTCCTCATCTGCAGAATGGGGATGAGGCGGGACCTACCTCACAGGGCTGTTGTGAGGATTCAGTCGGTTAGGCCACTCAAGCGCTTCGCTCAGAGCCTGGCACACATTAAGCGCTCAGTGACCGTGAGCTATCATCGCCATGGTTATCGTGTTGGTCAGAGAACAAATAAAAATAACTACATCCTCTTGGGACCCACGAAAGGGCAAGTGGAAGGTCTCTGTGGGTGAACAGGCACATGAAGGGATGGGTGGGTGGAGAGCAAGCGAATGAGGGGTTGAATGACTGAAGACATGGAAGAACAGCCGAGCCAACGGAGGGATCCACGCACGAACGTGTGAACGAACAGAGGAACACGAGAACGAGTGTATGTGCGGGGAGAACGCACACCTGAGGTCTGGGAGACGCGGGGCTGACTTGGGGCACCCGGGCCGCATCCCGCCCCCCGCCCGGCTCACCTGTAGCGCCGCAGCTCGCCCTCCAGCCGCCGCACCCAGCGCTGCAGGCCGGGCACCTGTCGCGCCAGCGCCTCGAGCTCGCGCACGCGGCCCAGGCTGCGCAGCACCGCCTCCCGGGCCTCCTCGGCGCGCCGCCGCACCTCGGCCTGGCCCTGACGCAGCCGCCCCGCGCGGGCCTCGGCCACCGCCAGAGCGCCCCGCGCCTGCCGCAGCTCCCGCGCCGCCGCCTCGGGCCCGCCGCGCCCCGCCTCCTGCGCGCCCGCCTGGCTCTTCCAGAGGCCGACCTGCGGGGACAGGGCCGCGGGGACCGCGGTGAGCGCCTCGCGTCGGCCACCGGCCACGACCGCGGCCACCTTGCCCGCGCCCCGCCCCCCTCGCCCCGGAGCGCCCACGGCGCACGTTTATTGCGCGCACTGCCTACTGCTCCCAGGCTGGTCTGAACTCGTTTAATCCTCGCAACAACCCAAATGAGGCAGGAGCTCTAATTATCCCCTTTTTCCGGGGTGAGGGAAACTGAGCCACAGTGCCCAGTATTCTCATCTTTGCGCGGTACCAATAATTCCCGAACTTCACGACTCTTCTCTTCTTCTGTGACTCCTCCGATCCCTAGACTGGAGGAACAATCTAAGCGTCTCAAAAAGGCGTTTCTGGACCTCCCCTGTGTCTGGTCAATAGACTCTTCTTGAGGGTGGGGTTTTTGTCTGTCTTGTTTACCGCTGTGTCTCCGACGCCTTAACCAGGTCTGGCACACAGTAAGTGCTCAATATATACCTGGAGAATGAATGATCCTGGAACATCTTGCTCCGCACCATGGGAGTCATTTCCCACTCCCACCCGTTGCTTCTCTTGTACTCCTAGGCCGCCAGCCCTTGCCTATCCATAGCTATGACCTCTGAAAGTGGCCCCCCTGCCACCCCTCCGCATACACAGCCTGCCCTCTGCCGCTCAGGGCTGGTGACTGGGCAATGGGCAGAGTGGGGCTAATGCAAGTCAGCTCCCTCCTGATCTATGGTCCCTTGGGGTAGAGGCTCTTCTCTTCCTCCTCCCACCCCCATCGCCCTTGGCTGAGCACAGTGCTGAGCACAGTGCTGAAGTGTTTGTTGACTGAATCCCAGATGCTTGGGCTGGGTCCATATCTCACTCAGTGCTTCCTTCTCAACATCCCAGAGGTATGGCCCCGAAGGGGTTCGGTGGCCAGTGACTGCCCGATGAACAGTGACACTATCTATTTAGCACCTGGCCCTGGCCCTGAGGGAGGCCCATAAATACTTGCTGAATGACCCATAGAGCTGCCAGTCTACCCATTAGGCAGGAAGCTCCTTAAGGGTGGGGACAGGGCCTTTTTCACCCCTTATCTCCTAACCCACCCTTCACGCCCCAGCCTGGCACCACAGAGAACTCAAGATGCCTGTTGAATGACCGAATGTGCCAGACGGCCCAGGTTTCCTGGGAGAGTTCAACTACTGGGTTAGAAGAGGCAAGACGACATAGTGAGGGTGGGGGGACGGCGTGGGATGGTGATCCGGGTGGGACAGGGGTTTTAGAGGTGGAATGGGGGGAGGGGGCTGGAGTGGGTTGAATGCAATGGGGGTGGGATAGGGGAAGGACGCAAGTGAGCCGAAGTGGGGTGGGGCTGCCCTCTCTTCCCCCTTCCACTTCCTCAGCAGGTCCCGGGCTGCTCAAACGACCCCCGCCCGCCTCCAGTCACGCCGCCCCCCTCCCTCCGCGCCGGCGCGCACCTGCAGCGCTAGACAGCGCGCGTCACTGCTCTGCAGCGCGGCACGCAGGTCCTCCACCAGCTCGCGCAGGCTGCTGTTCTCCTCCTCCAACCGCGCCAGGCGCTCGCCGTCCCGGCCGCCGTCGGGGCCGCAGTCCGGGGCGGACGTACGGGGCGGGCGGCGGCGGCGGCGCGGGCGGCGCAGGCGGATCTGGGTCTCGATGTGCTCGCTGAGAGCGCCGCGGGGCAGCCGGGGCCCCGCGCGGGTGCCGAAGTAGCCGCAGAGGCGCGCGTGGAACTGGCGGAAGGTGAGCTCGGGCGGCTCCGCGCGCAGCGCCAGGCGCGCCTCCTCTTCGGCATCCGCGTCCCCGTCGGTGGCCACCCCAGCGGCCGCGTCCCCGGCGGTCGCATCCCCCGGATTCGTGTCTCGGGCGGCCGCATCCCCGGAGGCCTCCCCGGCGGCGGCCCCCTCGGCGCGCAGCCCCAGCACGGCGCAGAGAGCGCGGAAGTCAGCGCGGGGCAGGCGGCCGGCGCCGCGGCAGTCCAGGTGATGGAAGACCTCTTGCAGGTACTGGTCCAGGCCGGTGGCCAGCACCACGATCTCGTTCTCCACGCCGCGGTCCAGCCCGTAGTGGTGCGCTAGGGCGCTCAGCAGCCACTGGGTGCGCCGCGCGGGTCGCCGGTACGGGTCACCCACCGCGCCCTCCATGCCGGCCTCCCGGCCGGGGCCGCTCGGCTGCATCGCTGCGGCGCGTCTCTCCTCGGGTCCCTCCGCCCCGCCACTTCCAGGGGCGGCCCCAGAGTTCTTCGAAAGGAGGGGCTTAGCGGTCGCGGTCTGGTTGGAGCGGCGCGGAGGGCAGTGTCCAGCAGCTGCTCTGGCTTGGCCGGGCGTCTGTGTTTACTCGGGTTCGTTTGGAGGAGGCTGGGGTAGGAGGCCTGGTCCCTCTCTGTCTTGCTTCTCCGGGTGACCCCCGCTCTCTTCTCCCCTCATCACTGCAGGGGTTGTCCCTGGCGTCTCCTTTTCCCTTCCCACTCCCGGCTCTGTCGGCCTTCAACTCCCGCACCCTCTGTCCCACCCACCCTGAGCTGAGAGTTGGCCCCGGGACCAGCGCGAGGCATGGGCGCAGGATAAGAAGCCGGGGAGAGAGGGAGGGTAGCTGCCTGGTCTTGTTGCTGGGGGTGTGTCCCCCAAGCCCACGTGTCATTCCACCCCTTCTCCAGAAAGTCTTCGGAGGGTAGCCCCGCGAGCTGGCTCTATCCGCCCTCTCTCCGCGCAGGTGCGGAGAAGCCCCCTTCCCCTATATTCAGATACAGGGTCCCCAAACTCACGTGTCGCTCCACCATAGATGGTGCAGAGAGTGGTAACTAGAGCAGAGAGACAGGGTTGGAGAAGTAAGTGGACTGCTTTAGGGACATCCCGCTGGTAAGAAGTCGATCTGAGATGGACCCTCGTTCTCTAAGCTGTGTGTGTGTGTTTGATGGGGAGTTGGGAGGCGGGGATAGAAAAGTGGTTTCTAGCCCTCACCTTTGTGCCTGTGGATGCTAAGTTGGCGATGCGATCTGAGTTCCGTCTCTGAGCTGGGGTTATGCTAACAGGGTTGTTGGGCCAACATTTTCTCTGGTGCCTTACAACGCATTTCTGGAAGGTGAAAGAAGATCTACCTTCTCAGGGGGAGACTTAGGCTGTTTTTCCTTTCTCTTTCACGAGATGTCATGCACCTGTTACCTGCACTGGGACCCGCTATCCAGCCACGTTGGAACAAGAGGCAGACTTTATTCAACTGTCCTTGGCTGTAAGATGGGCAGAATCTGGCTTTCTGTATAACTCTAGGAATTTAAATGCTAAATCTGAGGGGCGCCTGGGTGGCTCAGTTGGTTAAGCGACTGCCTTGGGCTCAGGTCATGATCCTGGAGTCCCTGGATCAAGTCCCTCATCGGGCTCCCTGCTCGGTGGGGAGTCTGCTTCACCCTCTGACCCTATCCCATCTCATGTGCTCTCTCTCTCTCATTATCTCTCTCTCTCAAATAAATAAATAAAATCTTTTAAAAAATAAATCCTGGAATTTGAAAAGGCACTAAAATATTCTGTCTCCTGGGCTGCAGTATCCCAGAATCAGCACTTTTTGGGGGGAAATCCCTACTCATTCTTGAAGATTTAGCCCAAGGGATGGAGTTAGATGCTTCTCCCCAGCCATTTTGGACATAATTTTTTTTTTTAAATTATAAAAGTAATAGCATTTTGACAAAAAATTTTATATCAGTTCCACTTCTTGAGCACCTGGGTGGCTCAGTTGTTAAGCATCTGCCTTCGGCTTAGGTCATGATCCCAGGGTCCTGGGATTGAGCCCCGCATCGGGCTCCCTGCTCGGCGGGAAGCCTGCTTCTCCCTCTCTCACTCCCCCTGCTTGTGTTCCCTCTCTCGCTATCTCTGTCTCTGTCAAATAAATAAAATCTTTAAAACAAAATAAAACAAAACAAAACAAATTCCACTTCTTGGCTTCTGCCTTAGAAAAAGACACGTGCACAGGATGTTCACTGTATCATTGTTTATAATATTGAGAAACTAGAGACAATCTGGTACTCATCAGTGCATCAGCCATGATGAATCACCAAAAAGGGTGAGTGAAATAAGCAAGTTGCAGCCTCTTATGTACAATGTTATGATTTCCATAACAATAACAAAACCACACCAAATGGTATGAAATATTTTCTATAAGGACATGTGTATGTAACTGCATAGAAAAAGATGAAGTAGGGGCTCCTGGGTGGCTCAGTTGGTTAAGCCTCTGATTTGGCTCAGGTCATGATCTCAGGGTTCTGGCATCAAGTCCCACGTGGGGCTCCTTGCTCAGCGGGGAGTCTGCTTCTCCCTCTCCCTCCCCCCCATGTTCTCTCTCAAATAAATAAATAAAATCTTTAAAAAAATTAAAATAGAAAAAGATGGAAGGAGTCAAAACTGATGCAGTGGTTATTTCTGGGGATCAAAGATGTTTAGCCTTTGCTGTAACATTTCCCTTTTTGCCAAGACGATTTCTTTCTTTCTTTTGGGGAGGACACACCTTATTTACCATTTACATACCATAAAATTCACCCACTGAAGGGTGTAAATAAATGCTTTTATTTTTATTTTTTTAAAAATTTTATTTATTTATTTGACAAAGAGACACAGCGAGAGAGGGAATACAGCAGGGGGCGTGGGAGAGGGAGAAGCAGGCTTCCCAACAAAAATAAATGCTTTTAGTACATTTGTAGAGTCTAGAGCCATCACAATCTAACTTCATAACATTCTCATCACTCATTTCCCAAAACCCTTGTACTGGTTAGCTCATTTTCTCCTTCACCTTCCACCCCCCCACCTCCTGCGCTAGATAACCACCATTTCCTGTTTCTATAGATTTGTCTATTCTGGACATTTCATATAAATGGAATCACACCGTATGTGACTGATTCCTTTTTGAAAACATGAACAGTCATGTTTTCAAGGTTCACCCACACTGTAGCATGTATCAGTATACCCTTCCTTTTTATGGCAGAGTAATAGTCCATTGTGTGGCTAGACCATGTTTTTTGCTTCTCTGTTCATCGGTTGATGGCCATTTGGGTTGTTCCCACCTTTTGGCTGTTCTAAATAGCGCTGCTGTGAACATTCATGTGCAAGTTTTTGCGTGGACATGTTTTCATTTGTCTTGTGTGTAGACCCAGGAGTGAGGCCTCTGCTTGGACGGTAGTTTTATGTTTCATTTGTGAGGAACTGCCAAACTGTTTTTCATGATGGCTGTACCATTTACCTTCCTAAAAGCCATGTTTTCGTGTGTTTCCTGACAGGTTAAGTAACACGGATGTTCTCAGTCCTCCACCTCACCACACAGGGCTCCAGGCCTTCCTCAGCAAGTTCCTGCCATCTTCCATTCTTCTGTGTTCACACCCTGCATCCAGTCTGTCAGGCTCTACCCTCACCACACATCCCGAATGTGTGCCTCGCCCCACTCCACGGGTACCACACAGAGCCAGCCCCCCAGCATCTCTCACCTGTATTCTTGCAGCAGGCTCCCCCGAGAACTGCCTGTGGACTCCTACAGTCTGTTCTCCAAGCCAGAAGATCCCCTCCTCTTTGCTCAGGAACCCCTACAGGGACTTAAGGCGAAGTGCTCACAATACCCCCAGCCCCCCCCTCATCTCCTGCCATTGCCCTTCCCCCTGACCTCCTTGCTGTTCTTCTAACTCACTTCAGGGTATTTGCAGCTGCTTCCCCCAGATGTTTACCTCCTCAGGCCATCACCTCCTCAGTGAGGCCTTTGGTGACCCTGAAGGCACTCTGCACCTCTGACAGAGTCTGTCTCCCTGTGTTAAACTGTCAGTCAGCCATGAGGGTAGCAAAACACGTCTGTTCCCCTGGAACCGTGTCACTGAAAGGAGACAATCAGCCTCTAACTTCCTTCTCAGCTGCCTCCCTGGTTGCCCTCGGGAATGGTGGTGTGTATTGCCTTCCACATATTTTCTTTGCCTGTAGATGATATGTATATTTTTTATTTGTATTATTTATTATGTATATTTTTTCAAGGCAGCTATTGCTGCCGTGTTGCTGTTGATCTGTGGGCCTCACATGAGGTCTGAGCTTCCGGAGGCCAGGAACCTGGTGTCCCTCGTCCCAGCAGGGGCCTGGCACAGTGTAGGCACTGATAATGTCGGTTCATATGAACACACATTTGTAGCAGTGAACTCACTGCATCATATGGGAAGACTGCCTCTGGTCGGCCTTGGTGGGATTTGCTGTCCTTTGATCCAGCGATGTTGGAATCAGGGAGACTCCAGACGTTGGTAGTTGATTGGATCCCCAGCTGGACTGCAGAAGCTTCTAGGCCTGGAGCCCCATGGCCTGTGGGTTTGCCTTGTACATTTAGGACAGGACTCTGGAACTTGGCTCTGGACCTCTGAGTTGCATCTGTGCAGTTGAATCTGATTTGATTTCATGTTAGTGCTGAGAGCAGGCAATGAAGCAAGACTGCTGTGCTCCCCCCTGCCCCAGGCACTGCAGTGGGGGGCTGCTTTTGGCGAGGGAATCCTTTGAACAGTAACGTTCCTGGGCCAGTCAACATTGAAAAGAAAGCCTTTAAATATCTGGCCACGGAGCGGTGCCTGGGCCTCCGCCCCCCTGCAGCTCAGCGGGGGCCAGGGAAGTCAGGGTTGATAATGGTGCGCTGTCAGGCCTGTCTGTCTGCGGGGCGGTGTTACTAGGCGCCTCTGAAATCATTCCGGTCGGACCCACAAGGTTTTTGTTGAAGGTTTGAAGTGAGCAAACTCAGAGGTCTCCTGGGCTCTTTTGTCTGAGCTGGGGGATGGGTGTGTGTCTGCGTGGGGGAGCAGAGGCCCTGGCAAAGAGATGATTTTCTGAAGTCAGTTCACTATTGTTTGAGCCATTTCAAAAAGTATATTGTTTAAAGTGTCTTTAAACATCCCAGAAAAAATGCTTGTTAGCACAAATCACCACCAGAAGAGGGGATCCCAGATACTCCTAATGTATTTGTTTTGAGGCGTTTTCCATGCATTTGGGCATGAAAGAACTTCCCTCGGGTGGTTGTTACACGACTGTATACATCTGTCAAAGCCCTTAAAAAGGGTGAATTTTACAGGATGTGAACTGTAGCTCATTAAACTCAACATAAAGAAACACGGTTGAAATGCCGTTGCTGGGATCTTTGCACATCGACCATACTTCCCAAACAGGCTTGCCATCATTAATAT